ATCCCAAAGAATACATGAAGATTAAAAAAAATCAGGATACATTTTGCTTATAATCACTCCTTCAGCATTGGAACAGACATTATTAATTCACTCATATCCTATTGGCTGATCTCATGCAGTTAACTGCAAAGTTTCCATATCACCTTGAGAATATTTTTTGGCTGTGGACCTGCAGGGAGTTCTCACCCCAGAAATGACTCTTACCCGGGGATGAATGTGGATGGAAGTGAATAGATAAATATACTAGTTTTTGGGCCAGCAGTTGGCATGGTGGATAAAGGTACTGGACTCCCACATGGCTGACCATGGTTCAAGTCCCAAACCTGGCAGCTTGCTTTCTCACTTTCCCTCTCTCTCTCTCTCTCTCTGTCTCTCTCTGATCAAATTAAAATAAATAAATAAAAGTTAAATAAAACAATTCTTTAAAAAAAATACATATACTAGTTTCCAGGCTTGTTGGGCAACATCCTGATGTGTGTCCTTCACAGGACTCAATGGACTTAAATGCATTCCCATATTGTCCAAAATGATGATGGCTAATTAACATATTCTTGTTTGACTGTCTTCTCTCCTTTATCTTACTTCCCAAGCCTTCACTGTACTTTCTGGGGTCACTTCCAAAATAAACTCTGTTCCCAAATCCTTGGCTTGCATCTGCTGCTGAAGCACCAACACAAACATACTGTTAAGCTAAGCATACGCACTGCAAACTGGGAACACAGCTCCTTCTCGAATGCACCTTCTCGAAATGTATAGTCTTGCATTTGTCCAGCTCTGAAGTTCTCTTTCTCTAGGACATCTTCACATTATGGGACTAATGTTCTTGGTCCAGGTTATGTGGATAATTTATTGTAATCTTTTTTTTAATCCTACTTCTTACTGTCAGCCTGCCTGAATGCCTCCAGTATTCCCTCCCTCTTTTTTTTCTTTCTAGCTCTTGTCACTGTTTTAAAGAAGACCCTTGGCTTATTCATGGAGATGAGGAAAACCTAATCGGTTGGTGGAGATTTGCTATTTAGGGGTTCTTCTTTAATTTAATTTATCTCCTCTGTAGCCACTTCCAAGAATAACCATATTTTTAGCTACACAAATATACCTATGACCAATGGGAATATTTTCCTGAACAGTTACCTTTATATTTCTTCCAAATGATTTTTTTTTTCTTTCAGATTTGAATAGTATTTTCACTGTAGCTCAATCATCTCACATCCGACATCTTCAAACCACTTTATTTTGGATGGAGATGCATGGCCACACTAACTAAATTTTCCCTTCTCCACCAACAGATTTCTATATTGGTACACTGAGCCTCCCAGGGAGTGGAGGGGTAGAGACTGGCTGTACAAATTCATTACCACTCCACCCAAACCAAATGTGCATGATCTTGTGAGGATAATACCGCTGAGATATGAAGGGCAGTGCTCTAACACCAATTTTGCTTTCTAATATTTACTCACAGATGCTTTTCTTTGTCATAGTCAGTCTGTTTCTCCTTCTGCCTCCCTCTATCTAAAGAAAATAGCTCAAAAGTATTTAAGGACTTTCCATCTATTACTTTGAGAGGGAAAAAATACACTCTCTGTAAGAGAATATTCATGCCACCTTATTTTAGAGTTGTGATCAATGCAAATGGATCATGTTTTTTCTGTAAAGGCGTTGCTGGCTGTATGGAATGCCTAAGTCACTGCTATGTCCTGGTGAATAGAATGACATCCCTCTTCACATTCTTACAAACGAGAGAGAAACCTTAAGATGAGAGGTATGAGGATGAGCATTGATCAAAAGAGAGTTTTTAGTCTAAGTTTTGTTTCTTAAGATGCAAATGTTAACTTCAAGTGTTTGGTGGAATACCAGCCTGGACATAGTTTGTGTCTTTTCTTTAAAAAGAAATGTGAATAAAGCATAATGAAAATTTGCTCTGTGTTCACAGAAAAGGTAGATTTATCACTGTGAAATTCAATTATATGAATCTCACATAAGTACAACAAAGAGTCCATCTTTTTCTTGTTTAACAGTTGTGCTGAGTGTTAATGGAAAGACTTTCATATATCCGATCTTTCATACAATGGTAGATTAAAGATACATATTTGTAACTATATTGCAGATTGAGAATATTATTGAGTTGTCAGAAAAGTCATGATGCATTTTTATATAGAAAAATACTCATGATTTTTCCAACAACTTAATGCATTAAATACAAAGAATAGAACTGATCTTAAATACAAATTGTTTTATAAAAAGTCTAAAATCCAGTAAAGATAGATTTCTTGGGATGAAAAATGAATAACAAGGAACCAGCAGTTAGCGTAATGCCTATGCCGCTAGACTCCCACGTAGTCGACCACGGTTCGCGTCCTGGACCCTGTGGCTTAAAACTCACGCCAGGTGCGTGTGCGTGCGTGCCCAAGATCCCGAGAGGAGAATGGAGGAGAAGGGATTATGGCGTGACAATCACCCCTGGGGGGTAATTTCTCACTTTCTGTCTCTCTGTCTCTCTCTGTCTGGCGAGCGTACGCGCCCTATAGCAAAAAAACCTCTCTAAAATAAAAAAAGGAATAACAAATATTTTCTACACTGAAAAATGCTTCCGACATCAAAATGAAATCAAAGACCTTGAAAATATATTTTATTTTGTAGATATCTGACATATAACAAAACAGTTTGTCTTTGTGAGTCATGTTAAGAGTAAGGGTTTAAACTGGCAGTTAACATTTTTAGAAATCATTCTTTAGGTTGTATTTATCTCTTTCATTAATTTCTAATGTTTTACATAATTTATTATACAGTAACACATGCTGTAATTGAGTCTTCATTTCTTGGGAGTAGAGTTGTCTTTACTTTCTCTAGTGGTTTGGAGAAGGGGAATCATTAGCTTGAGCTATAACAAGAGCAAAACTCAACTTTCTTTGCAATGAACATGAAGTAATTTAATCACAAATCCTGATGATTGAGAGAACAGTTCTTTCGGGGATGGAGGTGATTTAGGATTTAACGTGGACAGTGAGTTTAAGTCATAGCTGCCAGGGTTGTTAGATAGTCTGGTTAATTATAAAATGGAGACCTGGGGTCAGCAAGTGATATGGTAGGTAAGGTGCTGGACTCCCACTTGGCCCAATGTGGTTCGAGCACCAGATCCTACAACTTGAAAATCACTCGGGGTACGTGTGTATGCATGCCCAAAATACTGAGAGGAGAATGGAGAAACAGGATTGTGGCATGGTAATCCCTCCCAAGGGGTGATTTCTCACTATCCTTCTGTCTGTATTTCTCTGTCTCCTCTCCAGCAAGCACATGAACCTTATGACAAAAACAAAAGAAAAAAAAAAAAAGAGAGAGAGAGAGAGAGAAAGAGACCTAGTCTCTGTTGAAGGCAGACCTTGAGAGATCACTTAGTGAAAACATGAAATTCCAAATCCACATCACTTCTTACTTATTTTCTAAGCTATCTTCTTTAATGTTCTCCAACAGAAAAAATCCAATAGTATTACAGAGTTGTGGGAATAACTGTTTTCTTTGTAAAAGGCTCAACGAATTTATATCAGCTGCAGGTATGAAGAAATGTGTTTGAAACTGGTTATAACCCTGGTTATAAATCTCTATAAAGAAAGGATCCAAAATATTCTTAGATAGAGCCTATTTCTTCCTAAATATTTTCTATTAAATGTTATAGAAGAAAAGGGGGCAAGATGGTGCACAGTGATAAAGCTTGATGCTCTGTGAGGCCCACCTACATGAGAAGTTTCTGGATTTGTGTCCAGAGACTTCCTTGAGTATGTTGGGCATGTGCATACCCATGATCTGGGGCTAGCTGAACTGGAGATGGATTGCAGCATCAAGAACCTTTTAGGGGTGCTGTCTCTGTGTCTTTCTCTCTCTCTTACCCACGAAGAAATAAATATATAAACTATTACTTGTGAAAGAAAAGATATTGATGAATTCTTTACCGATTTAAAAACATATGATTTATTATTACAAGTTGAAGGTTTCTGAAAATTATTAAAAATTTATTTTCTGAGTATACAAAAAACAAAATTACAAATACTGATCAATTGTATTTCCTGTTTTTATCTTGCCTCAGTGATGTTCATAAACTTTGAAGAAATTAATCTTTTCAAAGAACAAGTGGTGTTCATTAGCCTTCACAAAACATTTATTTTTCCTGAACTTTCTCCTTTACTTATTCATTAATGCTAGAGTGCAAAAGTTTTCCTTTATTTTCTATTGTTATTAAATAAGTTTTTACCATATACCTCTGCTTTTCTGGGTGATAAAAATTGATGCTTTTGTGGTAGCATTTGATCTTTCTAAGAGGCCTAATATACTTGATGAGGTCTCAACTCATTCATCAAGTTGAGGTTTCAGTTATATAAGGAAGAGCTTTGAATGGGGCTTTCTCTCTTCAGAACTTACCTGAAACTATTCCTCTTTATGCAGCCAAGCAGGGAAGAAAGTTCTATTAACTAAATAAAGAATTACTGGCAACAAATAAAGTAACTCATTTGGAAAGGCTTTGTTTTCTTTCTTGGTTTTCTTTTACATCCATTCTTTCTTTGTAGGAATAGTGTATCTAGAAACCTCAGAAGGAAGGTCAAGATAACCAGTCTCAGTAATGAGGCTCTGTTGGCCTAGCATTTAGCTAAATAAATAAGAATGTAATTTTATTTCTTACTCAGAAACTGGCTGCAAATTTGCTAAATGATTGATTTGGTGCTAATTTTCTGCATGGACTCTTCATTTCCTTCAGGGCTTGTCCCATGGGAGGAAAATAAATTCAGCCAAGCCAACTGAGCCCAGTCTGGTTTTATTCTAGGTTTTGAAGGTCTGGAAATCTCCTCTTCTCAGCAGGTCTATATTTCCAAGGAATTCTTTTTTCTTTCTTTTTTTTTTAAATTTTTTTTAATGATCTCTCAAAGAGTACAACTTGCTCTGAAAAGACTGCAGAAATTTTCTATGTTCAAATCCTAGTGCCTTCTGAAAATAGAATAGAAATCAACATATTCATGGCAGGTGCCACCATTTTGCTTATTCTAGCACCCTATCTGTTTGTCAGTGCTCAGTGTTGGAGGTCTATGCTGAGAGCCTTGGTCAAGTTTCTGCCCTAGCCCTAGGTAGCACTGTCATATTCCACCAGAACTACCTATTCATTTTAGGGGATCTATAAATTGAGGGGGAAAATGGATATTTTTTATTTAAATATGCAATTTATAAAATGATTAGAGGAAATAAAAGGAGAATTATGGCACCTAAAAAAATGTGTTACTGAATGACAAGGTGCTCAAAAGAGTACTTGACTGAAGATGCTAAAGAGTCAAAAAGTCTCTCCCCATAACTTTTGGGCAAACTGCTTCACTTTTCTAGACCATTGTGGGTTTTGAGACTTGAACTTATACCATTTTTAAGTATGAATTAAAGGCAACCTTGTTGTGAAATCATGCTACCTCTGATTCTTTTTGAGTTACACTACCATGCTGAAAATTCTAGTTATAGATTGATCTTTTTTAACATTTATTATCCAGGACCCCAAGTTACGTGAACTTTTGGATGTGGGGAACATCGGGCGACTGGAGCATCGCATGATAACAGTGGTGTATGGGCCTGACCTGGTTAACATTTCCCATTTGAACCTCGTCGCTTTCCAAGAAGAAGTGGCTAAGGTACGATAGACGAAAACATGTCATTTCCCTCTGAATCCTTGTGATACTGTACTGATACCTGTGCAAGACTTGAGTTTTTGTTGTATTTATCATGTGTTAAAATTCCATCTAAAAATAATTCAGCTGCCAAGTGTACATGTAATTCAAACACTCCCAAATAAGGGCATCTACTTAGAATTATGGAGATTTTTTTCAATTCAAAATAAGTTACTTGATATAATTTCCTTACAAAACAAAATAAAGACAAAACCATATTCCATTTCACCAGAACATATATTTTTAAAATTCTGTTTTCCTATAGGTCAGAGAGACAGAAAGAGAGAAAGAAAGAAAGAGAGAGAGAGAGAGAGAGAGGAAAGTACTCCCAGAGAGAGAGAGAGAGAGAGAAACCACTCCCAGCAGGGACTCAATATCACAATCCACCCTCCACCATCCAATCAGAGACTACACACACACACACACACACACACACACATACATACAGATACACATGCCTGGCATAAGGAAAAAAGTCCCCAGACCTGAGCAGAGAGAGAGCCTTCATATGCAGGATTACCTTGAAAATGTTGCATTTTACCACTGCACTGCCATCCAAACCACCACCACCCCCTTTTTTTTCCTCACAGGGCATGTACACTCACAGGAAAGAGACAGAGAAGGAAAGTGAGAAATCACCCTCCCAGGGTGGATGGCCAGCTGCAATCCTTTTTCCTCCATTCTCCTCCTGAGATCTTGGATAGGCTCACTCATGTGCCCAGCATGATTTTCAAGCTACCAGATCCAGGACTTGAACCATAGTCAGCCATGTGGGATTCCAGTACCTTAACCACCACACTACCCCATGGGCTCTAACACCATCTTTTTTAAAACTTTATTTCTTCCATGATAGAAAGAGACAGAGAAAGAGAGAGAAAGAGAGAGACATGGGCATCCCCAGTGGGATCTTCATGCCTCAGTCCACGAACCGGCCTCAGCAGGCCTTGATCACAGGTCCACATGTGTCCAACATATATAGGGAGACCTTGAGACATAAACTTGGGGTCTTCCATGTAAATCCAGTCTCAACGAGCATTACTATCCTACCAGCTAGTCCTTACCTAAACATCTTACTCCAATTCATTGTGTCTTGGACTCATCCTTATGCCCAGTTCAACTCCATCTCCTCTCCAACTGTGTCCTAGGGGGCAGACATCTTCAGCATCTCTCTGACATCTTTTGCTCTTGACAGCCCACCACCACTCTGTAGTAGCTTCCTAGTTAACATGGGAAAGAATTTTAAAAATTAAATATAAATTTCAAGTAATAAAAATGACAAATATTTATCTAGCTGTGGACTAGAAAGATGAATGAGAGATGGCCTCTCCATGAAGAAATCGCTAGATGCATACAGAAATAACTAGAACACAGGTATGATATAGGACACAAGAAGCTGTGGAGATCCCTGGACTTAATGAAGTGTTAGGCTTTCTCTAGAAATATCCAATTGCCATTAAAAAAAAGTAATGAAATAAGCATATGAGTATTTGATGAAACACTTTCTTTTTCCATGTTTACTGCCTATAAAATACTAGTGCTGATGCTTACTCTTCACATAATTTTGTTCAAGCATTAAGAAAATGAGTCGACAAAATCTCTATATTCTGTATATCATGTAAACGTCCTTGCAGAGGGTCACACATCACAAATCACAACTACAGGGTCATTTCAGGTAATATGCATTGTCTTGGAATTGTAATCCGTAATTTTTTTAACCCTCAACTCTCTGACAATTTTCTGAACTACAATGGGATACATTGGTCTGGCTTCTAATTTATGAGTGATGATGGACAGAGTCTTATTTCTAACATTTACATGACACAAACTTCAGTTCTTATAAGGAGAATGAGTAAAATGACAACCAGTATTAATATCCTAACATCTTTAAAAACCACAAGAGTGTTACAAATCTAATATATTTTCTCTACTTATAAACCATGTTACCAGAACCAGCAGATGGCATAATGGTTATGTTGCTAGACTCCCATGTAGTTGACCAAGATTTGAGTCCCATACCTGGTGACTTAAATTCACACCAGGTGTGAGTGCATGCAGGCCCAAGATCCTGAGAAGAGAATGGAGGAAAAAGGATTCGACATGACCATCCCCCCAGGGGATGGTTTCTCACTTTCTGTCTCTCTCTCTTTCTGGAGAGCACATGAGCCCTATAGGAAAAATCTCAAACAAAAACAAAAATAAAAAATCACATTAGCTGGGGCCAGCATGTGAAGTAGTGGTAAAGACTCTGGACTTCCACATGGTTGACCACAGTTCAAGTCCCAGACACAGCAGCTTGAAATTCATCCCAGCCATGTGTATGTATGCCCAAAATCCTGAGAGAAGAATGGAGGAGAAAGAATTGCAGTGTAGTCATCTCCCCAGAAGGTGATTTCTCATTTTCTCTCTTTCTCTCTCTTCCTGGTGAGTGCACATGACCTATAGCCAAAATCCCCCCCCCCCCCCCAAAAAAAAAAACCACTATGTTACCCATTTGCTACTAGGATATATTTTATCATAGAGAGTGATTCCAGTTCAATGAAATATTGTGTGACAGACCTATAATTCCCCTGTGATAGTTCCTATTCTGGTAAGTTGCTGGTAATTTGTTGAATTGCATATACTTCATTTCTCAGTTTATGGATCAAAGATCGGATAAATGGATGAACATAGATAAGCAAATGCTAAATGTTTGCCAAATATCTGTACAATATCTTGCCCGAGGTGCCAACATATTCCCTTTTAAAAATAACAGATTCATAAAAAAAAAAAAAAAAAAGGAACCAG